TGTTTCCCTTACTATATAACTGTGCACTGGAGGCTCCGTTCCACATGGCATCTGGGCATCATTCCTTTAAATTAGAGGGTGTCTTGGGGGGGGTGTTTGCAGGGGAATGACGTTGTCCTCGAGATCCTGTCATTAGGAATTCTGTCTTCCCCCAAAGCCTCAATCGGCATAGGGAGGGGAGAGCTCAGATGACAGCGCGATCCTAAACAGAGCTGCACCCCTCTAAATCCACCAAAATCAGTAGGCTTAGAAGGGCGTAATTCTATTGAGAATCGCACTGTGAGTTTCCCCGACGAGGATTTTCGGCAGTGCCCAAGTCAGTGCCACTTACAAGTAACACGAACCTCTGGCGTGCTTCTCCCAGAGTTCGAACTTTTCAGTCTGAGCATTCCACGTTTCCCCGACAAGAACATTTTCCCCTGCAGCTAAGCCCTCCCTCCCAGTCTTCTTCTTTCTTTCTCTGAGTGCTGCAAACCACTGCTCTCCTTTGAACTTCATCTACTGATTGAAAAAGAACAAAATCTTTCCCCCCTGCTGCTCTGCCCACCCCCACTACAAAGGGATGAGGACACTGGACTGCTGGCCTTAGGTAAAAGCCGCAGGTAGATTTAGGCCAGAGCTATGAACATGCAGATGTGTGTAACTTCTCCCCACGGACCCCTATTTTACTTTAAAAGAAACAGCTGGGGGAGGCCCTGAGGAACAGAGGTGGGCAGAGGTGCACAATCAAACCCTTTCCCTGCTTGTTGGTTGCAAACACACTACGGCTTGGATCCCATGAGCACAAAGAGGGAAGGGTGATCTTCACCAATCACCTCTCCCATGAGAGACCTCCAATCCCCCCCCACCCAGTTATTCCAAGTGCTCCCCCATCTCCCAGAAGTAATCCTGGGGAAGAGGGGGGGGGGGGAGCCAAGGGAAGGAAGAATCATCAACCCCCCTCCCCACGTCAATCCTGCCCCCAATACTGCCTTTCTCAGGGGCAAAAAAAAAAAGGCATCAGGATAAAGAACATGCACGAGTGTTTCTAATTACATTTGATCCTAAAAACAAGTCAGTTTATAATTGGCTATGAACCTTTGGATTCAATGTGCTTTCTGTTTTGGGATGCCAAAAGGGCACCTGAAGATCTCCCACTACTACAATTTATCTCCAGATGACCAAGATCAGTTCCCCTGGAGAAAATGGAAGCTCTGGAGAGTAGCCTGTATGGCATTACGCCCTGCTGAGGCCCCTCCCGTCCCCCAAGGCCGGCCCTCCCCAGGCCCAACCTCCCCAAATCTCCGGAGCTGGCAACCCTAGATGCAAACTGTAATTGGTCAAATGCAAACAGGATTTTGCACTTAGATCATCTACAATGTTCACACTTTTGCTGAGTTTTCAGAGGGATCTGGAGCAAGCAAAAGTGAAAGGAAAATGCTGGATGGGAAAAGAGAACATGAAATAGGAAAGCATTGTGACTTAAGTCTAAGACTAAACTAACATCAGACTGCAAGGCTCCTGGATTCAAATGCTTCAGGCTGCTGACATTTTGGTAATGTTCTACCCATCAGATCTTTAACCTGTTTTCTGAGGAGCTCAAAGGAGTGTACATGGTTGAGAGCCAGTCTGGTGTAGTGGTTCAGAGCGCGGACTCTAATCTGGGATTCCCCACTCCTCCACATGCAGCTGCTGGTGTGACCTTGGGTCAGTCACAAGTTCTCTCAGAGCTGTTCTCTCAAGAGCAGTCCTGGAAAGAGCTCTCTCAGCCCCACATACCTCACAGGTGTCTGCTATGGGGAGGGGAAGGGAAAGGAGATTGTAAACGAAGGATATTTTCCAAAGCATAATAGGAAATCTAGAGCACAAACCTTATTAAAGAATGATCCAGTTGGTCAACCGTGTTGGTCTGAAGCAGTACAACAAATTTAGAGTCCAGGGGCACCTTTAAGACCAACAAAGGTTTATTCAGGGTATGAGCTTTCGTGTGCTGCACACACACTTTATCAAATAACTTTGATTTCTGATTGATTTTGATTGGTATTTGATAAAGTGTGTGTGCACATGAGAGCTCATACCTTGAATAAACCTTTAGTTGGTCTTAAAAGGTGCCACTGGAATCTAAATTCGTTGTACTTATTAAAGAATGTCACTTATTGTTGAAACTGGAAATTCAGGCATCTTTAGATGATAAACTAGGCGAGTGGGGGAGGGTGGGAATTGAAAAGGTTCTCTGTGGTTTAGGACCAGAAACTGCACCTTTGTGTGTGTGTGTGGACAGAGGGGAGGATCATCCAAGGTGAAGGACTTTGGTGGGCTCTGGGGGATCTGGGACTGCCGTTCGCTAAGAGCAAACAAGATGGGTGATCACCGTTTTAGCCAAAAGTGGGCACGTGGTCATCTGCCAGGCCACAGAGGAATGTCAAAAGGAGTGACAGCCTGTGTTTGCACACGAAAGCTTACACCTTAAACAAAACTTTGTTGCTCTTAAAGGTGCCACTGGACTCAAACATTGCTTGGCTTGCCGAGAAAAAGGGATGTTTATGGAGGGGAGGAAAGAGGCAGGAAGGCCCATCTCGTGGGAGAAACCGGCTGATCTGCACAGCAGCACATGGTTCGAGTTTGCTAAGATCAAGAGAGGATTAGGAGAGGGGGGGGAGGGATCACTGGAAAGGGACAAGGCTGACAGGCCTCAACGAGGGGCCTGGTTTTCTGTCGGAGACTGCAAGTCAAGGGGGTGGTTTACTGTTTCATGTGAAGGTGAGCTTGGGAACGGCTTGCCCTGTCCTGATTTATGTAGGCCACAGAATGGGGTGGGAACAAAGGAGGGTTGACAGCCTCCAGGTGGAGCATGGAGATCTACTGGAATTAGTACTGATCTCCGGACTATAGAGATCAGTTCCCTTTAGGGCTGCCAAGCCACGGTGGGGGATCTGCACGTCTTCACAGGATCCCTGCCGCAGGGGACAGCGATACGCGTTGCACCACCGTTGCCAGGATGTGACGTGTAGCGTCACATCCTGGCGACGGCGGTGCAACGCGTATCGCTGTCCCCCGCGGGAGGGATCCTGTGAAGACGTGCGGATCCCCCGCTACGGCTTGGCAGCCCTAGTTCCCTTAGAGAAAATGGCCACTCTGGAAGGTGGAGTCTGGCATTATACCCCGCCGAGGCCCTCCCCCTCCCCAAATCCCTCCCTTCTCAGGATCCACCTGCAAAATCTCCAGGAATTCCCCAACCAGGAGTCTGTCACCCTGGAACAAAGTGACAGGGTTCTAAGGAGAGAGAAGGGACCGTACCACATCAGACCACAGGTGGAGGATTACAGAGGTTCACTTGTTTCGGCCCCATGTTAAAAACTTCCTGTAGACAAAAACTCAACAGAAGGAAAGGGTTCGAAGCTCACTCCTCACTATGCTAATTTCCCACACGAGGGAACATTCGGAATGGAAATTCATCCCCTGCCACCCAAAGTGGGACCTTCCATGTCACCACCTCAGTATTCTACCACCTCATTCATCAGCACGTCTGAAGCAGGCCTTCCAAACAAATAAAGGAATGAGTAATTGGCAAGAGAAAGAACAAGGAGAGACCACTCCTGACTTTCAAGGCCTTATAGTCCAGACTCAGAAGTTTCGTTCTTTGTTTCCGGGTCCAATTCAAGTTGCGGTTATCGACCTTTAAAGCCCTGCACTCCCTGGGGCCAGCGGACCTGAAGGACCAGCTCTCCCATTCCATGATGAGCTTTGAAGCAAATTCAGAAATTCCCAGAGGTTCCTCCTGGCTAAACTCCCCCTATGCTGCCCAGTTCTTTTCTGGAACATGGTCCCTAAGCATGCACAGAGGGCTCCCCATTAGCTTCCTTTTGGAAAAGGCTGTCCTGCTCAAGCAATTCACTGGTAGGAAAGTAATGATGGTCCCTAAGGGTGCAATCGGTACTGTATTTACTGGATAAGAGGAGAACCCTGAATGTAAGGCAACTCCCTTAAGAACAGCATATACAAACACACAAAAGCTCACCCCCTGCCACAAATTTCGTTAGTCTTTAAGGTGCCACTGGACTCTTGCTCTTTTCTACTGCTACAGACAGACTAACATGGCTACCTACCCATCTTGATCTACACAAAATTATTATTGGACATTACGAATGTGTATGCTAAGGTAAGGACACCACCTCCCTTTTTAATAGCATGCTGTGGGAAAGAACCTGTATTTGAATAAATACTGTAACACATTTCAATCAATTGGTTCACCATTTAACCATTTGCTGCCTGTTGGCTGCCAATTTGTAAGAGGCCTCAAGTCACCCTGGGAAAGGCAGGGTCTGAATGTTTTAAATAAATATATATATATATATATATATATTTTGGGGGGTTGCCACTCAGAGAGATCAAGGTATCCTCTCTCTACCTGGCTATGCTTTTACTGCATGGCCAGTGTTTCCTCTAAGCTGAGTTAGTGTGAGGCAGCTCACAGTTTTTTAGCCTCCGGCTCACACACTTTTGTCTTAGCACAGGAAGGATGGCTCCAGAGCAGACTAATTTATGCAGCAGTCAAATCGGTGGCTCACAACTTTAATGCCAGTAACTCACAGAATTTTTGCTCACAAGACTGCACAGCTTAGAGGGAGCGTTGGTTGGGACCCAAAAGCGCGACTCTCGCGCAGGTGGGTCCCGAAGCTGGTAGGTGTGGGAAAGGAGGCTCCGTCCGGAGCCTGGATGGCAAAGTTGGGTTTGCCCGTGGGGAATGGCCATGGCGCTTACTCCCTGCCGCTGGCCTCTTTGTGAGCTGCAGAGAGTCCGCCGATGGGGCACTCCTGCTGCATTTGGGAAGCGGGTCCCGAAAAGCAGCCGGGAAAGTGCCTAGAGAGGCTGACGTGCAGCCGAGGCTCCGGGTAGCTCTGGGCGAGATCGGATTTGGGGAGGGGAGGGGGCAAGCCGGTGCCCCGGCGCAGGGATGGCGGTCCGGGGGGCGCGCCCGGCCACTTGCTCGCTGCCTGGCTGGCTCCGCCTGGCTGACTCACCCGAGCCTTCGGCGGTGACGATGGCCTCCGGGGAGATGCAGACGCCGCGGTCGTAGACGGGCAGCTCGTCGCAGGCCAGGCTCTCGGGCCAGGCGTGGCCGTACTTGACGAGGACCGGCTCGCAGCCGGCGCGGGCCCGCTCGCAGACGGACTTGCAGGGCTTGATGGGCTCGTGCTGGAAGTCGATGGTGCAGATGGGCGCGTACATGGCGCAGAGGAAGAAGAGCAGGTCGGCGCTGCAGTGGACGCCCAGCAGCGCCTCGAACTGCTCGATGGCCAGGATGGCGTTGGCCTGCGTGCTGTGGTGCAGGTGGTTGGGCATCTTGGTCATGTTCCAGGGCAGCGACTTGCAGAGCGGGATGCGCACCGGCTCGCACGCCGCGCCCCGCGTCGGGGACGCCCAGCTCGCCAGCAGCCCGGCCAGGGCCACCAGCAAGGCGGGCGGCGGCACCATCGCAGCCCCGGCCGCCGGCCCTCGCCTGTCCCCCCGCCGGAGCCGGAGGGGCTCCTCTCAGCGTCCCTCGCCTCGCCCAGCCGCGCCCCGCGGAGCCAGATTGCCTCTCTCCCGTCCGGAGAGCTCCGCGGGGAGGCGAGACCCGGAGACACCGTCGCCCCCCCCCCCCGGCCCGCCCGCAACGCC